TAAAACATTTGAAACACAGACTTTTAAAAACTCTTGGGTTTGAATTTTTTTCCTCCACATTTCTCATTAGCCACATGGAAAGCACCACGTAAGTAACTGAATGTGCCTAGCACATTTTTAAATTAGCTTATACACAATCAGCCTTAAAAAGAGAGATGCGTTTTCCTCAATTAAGTATTTTCTTGTATAGTTATTTAAAAAAAACTTTGTCCATATTCAAGATCAAGTTATAAAAATAAATAAATACATAAATATCAATGCATTAGTGTTTTTAAATTTACCCTAAATTAACGGTGGGAATTGTAGTTAGCTCCTAATTGTCATCCTTATTAACACCTAAAAGGAAACCAGGATGGTTATTAATTTATGCATCTTATAGGCTAGATTAAATATAGTTATTCATCTTGCTCAAGGATGGGGAGGTGCTGGGAACATACCAGAGACTTTAGGATAAGGGACATACAGACGAGAGCCTGTTTGCACAGCGTATTTCACAAATACAGATCCCAGCACAAGCTGCTTTAATAATTTCAGTAGGCCATGACGGAGCGTTACTGCAATCGTTAACATATCTTCATGTCAGTCCTTTCCTTCTCTTTTGAAATGAGGTATCAGACAAGTTTGAGCAAATATTAGAAGGGCAGGACTGGCAGATAACCAGCTTCCTTCTGATTTGAAATACGAAAGCACACACATCATCAACACATCTGCTACTGGTCTGTCTGTCCAAGGTTTCCAGGCAGCGCCTGAGCATCCCCGGTGTGCCAGCTCGCTCACAGGTCTATTGATACCAGGAGAGCATCCTCCAGCCTGCAGCTCAGTCATTGAGAAAGGTGTTGCAAAAACCTAGAAGTCTGCGTAGAGCACCTGAAGTGCTCTCCAACAAAGCCTCACAAGTGTTCATAGAACCATAGAATCATTAAGGTTGGAAAAGACCTCCAAGATCATCGAGTCCAACCGTTAACCCAACCCCACCATGCCCACTAAACCACGTCCCTAAGCGCCTCATCTACACGTCTTTTAAATACTTCCAGGGATGGTGACTCCACCACTTCCCTGGGCAGCCTGTTCCAAGGCCTGACCACTCTTTCAGTAAAGAAATTTTTCCTGATGTCCAATCTAAACCTCCCTTGGCGCAACTTGAGGCCATTTCCTCTCGTCCTATTGAATATTATCATCCACGCTCTCCCTGAGCCCCAACCCCAGCTCTCCCCGAGCTCTCTCATGACCCTCTGTTCTGTGTGCGGGGCCAGGTTAGGTCCAAGGTGTAATTAAAGCAGACTTAAAGATGATCTCTGCTCCATCTGGAGAAAATCCTTATTAAATCATGAGCTGCAGCAGTGCAGCACCACCGTGGCTCACCTCTCCATGAGCAACCTGAGTCACAGGACCTCTGTCCTCCAGACGGGGTGTAGGGGGGCTTCTGAGCAGGTCCATTTCATGAATTTAAAGACAGAACTTCAAAATGGGCTGATTTGTACTAACATTGATCTGGCCACATATTTCAAGTATGAAAAACAATTCAACATAGATTTCTACCATTTAATGCATTCTTCCCATTATTCACTTCAATCTGGTAGTTACTACTAGCATGCTGCAAGGGACATTCAAGTTTGCTCAGACACTGCCTTTATGCTTATTTCCATTTCTAAAACATTATTATTATAGGTTTTCATTAACGATTTAGAAAAAACCATATGAAACCAGATTGTATAGTGACTTTGATAATTTTGTGCAGTTTTTGGCCAAAGCTTTGTGGAGCAGCATGAGAAAGAGTCAAAATAATTTGGGGTTTGGTTTGGTTTTTTGTTCCTATCTAAAGCAAAATACGTACCGTAGTTTTTGCTTCTTTAATTCCTGGTATTATTTGAAAAACTTTAATATTAACCTTTTCTGAAACCTGCACTGTGTTTAGTTATATTTAGAAAGTATTCCCATAGAGAGCTTTAAATACAACAATATACAACTAAGCTTTGTAGTTGACCAGCAGAGAAACTAATATGCAACCATCCACATGATGTGATTTGCAGCTATTAACATATGGGGAGTGTTGTTCTTTAAGGTTTTGTCAAACTACTTCTCTCCACAAAATTAAAAAACTTTCGAAGAATTACATTGAAGAATACACTTCAGTAATTTTTATTAAAACAGAAAAGATTAATTTAAAGAACTGACTCAAAACTGTGCTACAGAAATAAACATTTAGAAATCCCCAGGGCTGTCCCCACGAAACCCTGGCATAAATTTAGCTACATGACTGTAGCAATTCCAGTGCCACCTTCTTATGGAAATACACTGCAACCCAAGCAGGACTTCTGCAGCAGCAATCATCCTGTTAGCTGCACCAATGTGAATTCCCTTTCTGATCATTTCCAAAATCGAGGTTTGAGGTATGCACCAGGTAACAAATTCATTGCATTTGTATTTTCAAAAACATCTGCAATGTAGATGGAGCGAGGAATTATCTCATAGAGATTTGCAGATCTCCTTGGCCTCCTGAGTCTCCTCTTTAAGCCAGCTACCGGCAATTTGCAATTTCAGGACCGCATTTTATTAACGCCCACATTTCTTTCTCTCCCATCTGCTACTGTTATTCATCAAATGCTATGCTTTCTGGGGTAGAAATCATCTCCTTACATCATGCACGTTGCACGTAGGCAACACGGCCCAAACTGGGCGAAGTCTAAACTTTGTCCTGATTAGCCTCATAGGCTTGCCCAGCTCTGCAGAAGAAATTCTACTAAAGAACTTTGTAAAAACAGCAGAAGCAATACTGGCTGTTACTGCGGGGTAGGCTATTAATCAATCATAACCACTGACCAGTCTATCTTTACTGCGAATGATGAATGAACATAAGATAAATTGCCCCTCATCCTGGTATAAAATTTTCATTCCAGAGATAGGGTACGTTACTTGACAGCAAACATTTATATAGAAACCCCACCTTTATTTCACTGCTGTTAAATGAATATAAAAGAAGGTTCTGTTCCAATTCCAGCTGTGTAGAACTGCACCATAAAAAAGCATGGTGTAGTTCTACAGAGCATAGAAATGTCTCAACGATATTATGGAAATAATCTGTATAAAATTTTCCCTGCCCAAGTAGTACCTTTACTAACACTCTTACTCAGGCCCCTGGGCTTTCATCCAACAAGCTCAGAATTCAGATTACTCTGATTCTCCCAAAATCCTTTGGCAGGCAAATAGTTGCAATTTGCCAATAATCTTCTTAACCAAAGGACCAAAAATGATGAGAACTGACCTTCTTTAATCACTGCCCGGCCTTAGTTTACTACATCTTCAAGACATCTTTCTAGATGTGTGCAAAAAATCTAGAACTTGACTGAGTTTAAAAAACCAATTATAAAGCCTAAAATATGGTTCTCTCAAGTAGTAATCATAGAATAGAATCATAGAATATCTTGCGTTGGAAGGGACCCATAAGGATCATTGAGTCCAACTCCCATGACATTTCAAATTGTTGCCTTACGTATCATATGTAATACATAATACAGCCAGGCCTTAGACTCAATCTCAAGCAATAAGGAAACTAGACTGATAAAAGCCATAAGCGAGCATTACTGTCCATTAAGAAAAAAACCACACATACACACTTTTTAGATGGCTTCATTCCAACCTGTAGGGCTTCCATTTGGTTTTCAGAATTCTTTTTTTTCTAATTTTTTCAGAAACCATAAATCCATAAGTTTACCCCATTTCTTCTAAGATCTTCCATCTTCTTTTTCTCCACCCCTATTGTCCATGAGCTCCTCTGCAACATGTTCCAAGCGTGGCCTGAATCTGCTCATCCTCCACTGCCCTCAAATCTAAAACTCAGCATCTAAAACATTTGAGAGGTATTCTATGCCTTCTGATTGCTTTTTGTTGACTTCCAAAGTCCTATCTTGTATTACACCCATCTAGTTTTAAGTGTATTTATTTTGTTAATAACTTCTATTAATCTACAGTTGTTCACTTGACATGTGCCTATACCTAATGTGTGGCCTGTTTGAGTCCGACACTTAATTTCACAGCAGATGGTATATTAAAGGCCCACCCAGTCTAGGCAGGTAGCAGCCTTTTTTTTCCCACAGAGCAGCTGTTATGATATATGTTTGGAAATATTTTACATGCCTCTGTATCTTTGCTCTTCCACAGAGGTGGGAATGCAATGAAGTAGATAGACAGAGGCTATCTCGCTTGTGAGACAGAAAAGCCAATTTCAGTTCAGAATGAACTAATGCACAAAAACATTCAGCAAAGACTTGCCCTAATTCATCCACAGCGAAAATATGTTGCTTGCAGCTACAGGGCTCATGGAAAACACAATGAACAGAAACAATCCGCACAACACAATAACAGCTTGAGTGCGATGTGATGGATGGTTTGCATGCATGCATGACATGAAACATTCTCCAAAAAAAAGAAAAAGAAAAAAACACTCAAGAATGCTGAGTGCCTAAAGGAAACCACATACTATCAGAAGCGAGTCGTAAGACAGAATTAATCCTCAAGGAGGGAAAAAAGCCAAACTTGGAGGGACAACTTAGCAGTCCATTGGCTGCTTTTCACAGCCACTCACTACCATCCAACTCTTAGTATGCCTGCAACATAAAGTTATCATCTAAAATAATAGCAGATGTAAAATATCTCAGAAATAATGAGCATTTAAAGAAATAAATGGCAGGGCAGGCTACATGAAGCAGTTGCATGGGAATATGCCGCTCATCTTTCCAGGATGAGATTTTTGCTTAGGAAAAACCCTCAAGCCCTTGCAATTAAAGTAAAATATTCCCATTCTTTCCCTGAAGATTGCTGAGTAAGAGTGCAAAGCAGAGGAAACAACAGTAAAGTTTGCCAAATTGTGACACTCAAATTTGGAGAGCTCTGGGCTGCTGCCACTTACAGCTGCTCTACCCCTGTCCCACGCTGGAATATCACAACATGGAAACATATTCATGTTACAGAAAGCAAAAAATTATATTGGCAGAAGGAACCCCTGGAACTCTATTTTTACTACATGAGTTTCACACCTCTACGTGTGAATTTCAGTACAGATTTACCAGCATATTTTAGTTTATTAAAAAAGTTTTAAGTGATAAGTCATTAAAATAAAAATTCTCATCAGCAGCTTGCAAAGCATTCTAACAAGGCACTCCTCACTTAAATTACTAATTTTCACAGTTAAATTATCAGCAAATGACTCCTTCTAAAACTAGGAAAAAAAAATGCTGTGGGTTTTCTAAAAGCAAGACTGAAATATAAGAAAACTGGGTGATCAGTGAAAGAACAGATGAGTAAGTTACTTTGGTCTTACTTCTCGTCTATTTGGTGTTGTGATAGTAGCTGGAGTTTGACATCCCTCCCCCTCGGATGGCATGGACAGCCGTTGGAGAAGACGCTGGGTAATGACCAGGGCGGATGGGCTTGGCTGCAGAGTAAAAGTAGGAAACCAAACAAGACATTTAGCTTTCACACAAGGTTTTCTACCTCACCTTCTCCTCTAGTACAAACCCTTTTGTTTCCAAACAAGGAGCCGTGCTTGGCAGAGTAGTCTGTAATCTAGCTCTGCGGAACGTAGCATCCCCTTACCTCGGCCAACAACAAATACCTCCATTTTCTGCTTGTGACAGATCCATTCAACCATCCCATGCATGCCCCTCATCTCTGCAAAGATTATGGACTGTCTATACACCAGAGGGAAGTCATGGCCCACTTGGTGGTCAGTGATGTACTTTCTATGTCCAATTTGACTATTTATATCATTCCAGATGATGCTGAGGCAAAGCTGTCAATGGCTTTCTACAAGAGCTGGCATACAGCAGGAAATATTGTGTGCTGCCTAATTCTTTCTCAGGTTTTAAAACACCAGTATTAGCATCACCATCCAAAACATCATCCTTCTACTTCAGCAATTCCAACAAATTATTTCAAAAATCGCCCTATCTTAAACACCATTTGATTGTATGCACGCATTCAGATCGCACCACAAAGACATCAAGCATCTGAATTATATAGGAAGATTTTTGACTCTACACAGTCCAAATTAAATCAGGGAAAAAGTAATCAGGGAAAAAGAGAGGAAGGGACAAGGTCCAGAAAGGCAAGGAAAGAATGAAAGCAGAAGGAGAGTATGTGGGGGAGGAGGAAGAAAGTGAGAGACTAATTTAAAGAGACAAGTTTTCAGGTCACTAGAAGGGCACACAAGTCCCATTATGCCATTTATTTACTGAGTTAAATAGCAGAGGCGCTTTAAACTTTAGGTGGGGCAGATTCTATTAAAAAGTGAAGCCTTTGAAGATTCCCGTGCAGCAGAGGAGAAGCAGACCCTGTGGTTTGCCCTGGACTGCTGCTTTCAAAGCTCTCTGTATTTAAACATGAGCAAACAGACCAACCATGAAGTATGTGAGCAACCACTAACCCTTTAGCTCCATGTCCTTACCAATTTGAGCAGAGTGTGCTCTCCGTGCCATGTTTTTGGCTCTCACAGCCTCCTTAATGCGATCTACCTCCTGCTGGTACCGTTTGCGGTCTCGCATGGCGTTCTCCTTGGCCTCCTTCAGTGCGCTCTCCAGGGCCTTAACTCTCTCTGCCGTAGCTCGAAGTCGTTTTTCCAGCTTAGGAAGCTCACAACGAAGATCTGCATTATCACGTACCAACTGCAAGAAAAGAAGTTTCAAAAATGCCCTATGAGAAACTACGGGAAAGGTCCTCTTACAAGGAGAGACAGAAAATACCACCTCTTCCTCTTCACACCTTGTATGCTACGGATGAAAGAAACAGGTTTCTTCCAGAAATGACTGTAAAAGGCTTATGTCAAAGAGAGATTTATCTTTACTCATGCAGTTCATTTGTCTAGCTGAGATATGATATTAATTTAAATTTTCCAGAAAGATCAACGAACAAGTGAGCTTATTCCGTTCAACAAAACTTCACAGATCTGATCCTGGAGGGTGGGGGCTCCAGGACAAACCCTGCTACTACGATATCCACTTTTCTAGACTTTAAGAGCAACTGTGGCAGAAACTCTGCATTTCTTCGGAACGCAGAAATCTCCGGTAACGATCACCTCACTGTTTCAAAATGGCAATGCTTAAACATGACTTATAGACAACACTGGGTATCATCATAAATTCATCATCTCCTCCAGTTATGGCATGCTTACCTACTTGTTCCCTACTCAAGCGTATGGGAAAATCGGAAGCTTCAATGCCTCAAACATCTCTAAGAAATCACTTAAGGCCTGTAGCTATAAATGAGATTATTATATCCAACTCTGATTTCATGCACTTTCTCAATTAAATACGAACCTGAGCAAAGTCTATTGATTATCGGAATAACATCTAACTTCACATGCAACAATAGCCAAGATAGAGAATTGATTTTTTTATAAATAAAAAAATGATGCAAACAGTTAGAAAATCCAGCACAATTTCTACTGAACAGATTATACCATTACAGAAGTCACCAGAAAATTGTTCCACAGGAGTGATTCTCCCTTTTCTGGAGAGAAGGGAAGAAAGTGATTTAAGAACCACATTAATAATACAGTAAAGCAACAGCACGTATTAACATTCACACGTTGTTTGACAATCAAGATGTTTTACACCTGCTAGTCCAGGCTTAGTGCCAGAAGAAAAACACAAAGCTAAAAAAAAATTGTCACAATGTGCTTTTTCTGCAAGTGTTGAACCCTTGTTCTTCGAAATAGTTATGATATGAAATAAGAGCAGGATGATATCACATTCAGGTCAAGTCCAATGTCATTCTTCCCTCTAAGTTTCTTATGAGCTGTGGACTCGTAGTTGGTTTTGATTAAATGTACGCTAATAAGAACTATAAAAATCCGTATCTGAAAACCCAGGAGATGCGTGAACTGAGTGCAAAAAAGGCAAAACAGTAAAAGGAAAAACACTCCTAACATGTCCCAATTTCCACATTTAGAAACTAGGTCTTTAAACCATCTGTTCACTGGGAATCTCAAAATACTGAACCTTAGCGGACACTTGTCATGGTCCGGCACTGCTTGCTTTTTTGGCACATCCACAGGAATAAATAAAGCAAATCTCAGAGAGCGCTGTGTCTCACTAATAACAGATTCAGAAAACTGCACTGGAGAATGTTATGTCACTATGCAAAAATGAAATCAAAAGCATCTTTACTATTTTTGTGCTCCGCACCTGAACAGTGGGACACAGTTCAGAAATACTGACATCTGATAAGGGGGTGGAAGCATACTTATTGGCAGAAATGATCCAGTTTTATCTAACGAGGTGCTGCCTAGACATATACACACTTCCAGTAAGCAGAGGATAAGGCTTTTTCCTTGATGTATACCCAAAACGCTTGCCTACCACACATCCCCTCCACCCCCCATTTGCACGGTAGGTACCTATGGTGAAGGGCTCTCCATAGCCCTTGTCTCTCTGAACAGCAGAATTGCAAAGGAAACGGGAACTCCATGAAAGAGGGAGGAGACAGAGATGGACATGCCCAGAAATGGCCAACCTCAGCATCCCGGGGAGACACCAGCCCTTAAGCTGCACAGAAAATCTCTGTTTCTTTGCTTTTATACTCTGCTGGTTGACTCCACTCAAGTCACCTCCAATGGTGCCTCTAAGCAGCTTTAGACCAGGAGTCAACACTGGGGATACACAATCCATCTAGAAACCAGCTATCAGCACACAAGGTAATAACTTTACTCTGTTTTTTATGCATTACACCAATACAGTGACAATTAGTCTTGCCAAAACTGCTAGAGTCTCTTTTCACAGAAAAAATAATTGTTCATTTAACACATTCATTCCCACGGGTAGTGGGAAGAGCAGCTATAACACCAAATCCTAATGAATTTTAGTTGAGAACTATAGTTGAGAACTATTCCTCAGACAATACATGTTACCTTCAAAAATTGTCCTTTTAAACATAAAAAAGTTTTTTTTTTTTTTTAAAACGTAATTTGTAATACTGCAGAACAGTCATACATGCAAAGTTTTTCCCATAGCTGAATTTTCAGAAGCAATTACTATTGATCAATGAAAAAGACACAATAGCTTTTGATTTAATGGTAACTAGGCACTGGAAGCAGGGAGAGAAGGAAGCAGGGAGAGAAGGAAGCAGGGAGAGAAGGAAGGAAGCGGAGCCCCTACCTGTTTGTGAACTTTTGTAAGCTGTTCCAGGTTGTTCTCAAGAAAGGAAATTTTCTGCTTCTGCGCAGCACTTCCACCTCCATCGTCGCTATCAAGTTCAACGCTCTGCACAGAGAATTGCAGCATTCAGCAAAGCCAGGCAGAAACTCAAGAGTAAGCTCAGGTCTTTTGTGAATTTAAGCTTCCCAAAGGCAGAAGAGTCTTCCAGAGCCCCAAATCAAAGAGAATTTATTTTACCTGTTCATTTGATATTTAAGAGCCACATTCCCTGCTACATAAAAAATAAACTATTCTTACTGAACAATTATGGGGGGATCCTGAATAGGAAAATAGATTTTAGTGGGGAAAATCCCTTTTTCCTCTTTTTTGCACTCCTGGGAGACATTTTTAAGTAATATGGGTTTTCAACCTTTAAAAAAAAAAAAAAGGTGTAAAAACTCTTCCCCACAACTGCTCTAAAGGACTGAAAAGCATTGCAAAGCCTTTGACTATTTACGCAGCTTCTGACTCTTCCTCAACAGTTAAAAAATACATGAATTGCTGCCAAATAATAATTTTGCCAGGAAAAGGATGACTAGTCACAAGCCCAGAGAAAGAAAGGGCCGCAGCATTCAGTAGCATACGTTAGTGCAAGTTATATTGAATCATTTCTGGTACCCATCAATACCATCTTTGAGAATTTTGTAACTGAACTGAACTGGCTTGGTTCGTTTCACTTAACCACCAAGACTTGTTCTTAACAAATTAGGATCAAATAAAAGCTAATAAACATCAGAACAGTTTTAATCTTATTACTCACTGTTATTGAAAAAGACAATAACTCATTTTGTAACAACATGCACTAAAGGCTTCCAGCAAATTGCAAGAATACTGCAAAAAAGATAAGACTTTGGTTTAAAAGAGTATAGTCTTACTTTTTTAACACGGGTGGTGAGATCTTGCACAAACAGTTTGCGTAGGTTGTGAAGAGTCTGAAGTTCTCTTGCCTAATTAAAAAAAAAAAAAAAGCACAAACCAGTAAGACATAGTAGATACTCCGGGGTAAAAATTCTCTTCAGGTTTGAGTAGATAATATGACTTTATTGTGATGTACTTATAGAGATGTACCTGCCTGTAGGTATATGCAGCTCACAGACAGGCAGTGCCCATGCTGTTCCCCACTGAAGAGCTCTTGCACCTCCCAAGGTGTTCACCACACCAAAGCTACTTCTGAAAATATGTTGACTCTGTCTTAGGGCGTGGGGAAACAACAGCAGAAAGCTGAAGTCTCACAAATTGGCCATGGTTACACACATCTAGTGACGTGAAAGAGCTCTGGATTCACTCTTTCGCAAACTCATTGGCCCGCCTTGAATGATTACTCACAGGCACTTAAGATGTTTAAGTGCTTTTTAAGTTTTGGCAAAAATCCAGCCTTTCCCAGCTTTTATTATATGCATTAACTTCTCAGGCTCAGCAAAATAATCACCTTAGTTCAGACTGGAGGTGTGACACAAGAAGTGACAACCCTGCAGCTACTCCCAGGATGGAAGCACTAATCCATTTGCAGGAACGGCAACTATGTGGATAGGCAGTTCACCCCAACCCCACACTGCACTGAAGCCAAACTGAATAGAACTGTCTTTCCAAAGGTGGTAAGAGCAACCTTAGCTTTTCCATTTTATGCTTATCCGCTCACATACCGGAATTTAAATGAATCGCTCAATGTGCCCCACCACGACTACAAGCTTTTGAACTTGAATTTTTTATCTGTATCTCTCAAAAGAAAAAGGCAAAACTGACTAGAAACCAAAAAGGAGATGTTTCCTTCATGGACTACTAGAAACCATACATTACAAGCACAGCTTATTTATGTATGTGTGATATGGTACCCAGAAGAGGCACCGTGTGACTCTAAGTCAAACACAGCTGTAAAGCAGACACCCCCCTGAGAGCTCCCATTCGGGGTGCCGCACCCCATAACTCCCTCCTACAGGACTCCTTCTTTTGCTTCCTCACCAGCCCAGCGCTGGGAAGGAGAATGAGTCAAAGAAAAGCAGCAGCTGTGGTCCCACCAAAACTGTTCTTCATCCCTTTCTTCTCAAAGTAATCATATAAATGACACGCGATGCCCACAGAGCTTGATGCCTCCCCATACAGATGGGCAGGGATGAGCCACCATTTGGCCTTCGATGGCTCATGTTTTCCTGTAATTCGCTATGCTTGATTTTTAA